CTCATTATTTAGTTTAAGTTCACACTTATATCTATCTATCTATCTATAATGTTCTGTTTTAATTATTTCGTGTAACATATTAGCGTTTCGCTAAACTTCAGCGCCTTCATCTGATTAGAACAATGGCGACATCTTTTTAAATGATTAATCTCAAATGTACTTACCCTTATAAACTTTTATCTCATTTTGATCATTTTAAAACAATCTCTCACCTCCTATGGTTTCTTCATTTCCAGTTCTAGCCATGCACACGTTCCATGTTTTTTCGTTTTTTTTTTTATATATCGCTTGTTCTTAGTTACATATTCCCTACGCTGTACGACATCTAATACAGGCTTATGGATACCGCTGAATAAGTTATCCGTGGCTGCCTTTGCCAATTTTTTTTTTCCTTTTTCTTTTTCTCCCCTTTCTTTTATATCAGTAATTAAATTGCAGGGATAAGCTATGAGAATTACTTTGCAATTTAAAAATTCTTAATAATCGCTAATGAGGTAGGATAATTAACGAAGTCATGACAAAGTTTACTTAATTAGGAGGAACCACGTGTCGATGCCAGAACAACGAATCCTGTGAGTTTTGATTTGTTTTTCGTTCTACTTTTAGTAAAGTTTCCAAATGAAACGATGCTATACGTAAAATAAATCTCGAGGTCTTTGCAATTCGTTGGAATCAAGGAAAGATAAAAGAAAGTCTTGCTAAAACAAGCAAGAAGATTGTATCGCCATACATCACACAGGTAAACTAAATTTATAAAAAAAATGAGAGAGAGAGAGAGAGAGAGAGAGAGAGAGAGAGAGAGATTGTTAAAGATCCCGATTTGTTTTATTCAAGAATTTTAATTTGCCTTCAACCGAAATAAATCCATCTTGCTATCGTTTTTATCTATTTCTCTATTGTTAGTTTGTAAACATTAATTTTAAATCTAATAACTGTGCTGACGATCTCTTTATAGAATTTCTGTGATTTTTCCTAGTGGAATATCTGACCTTATAGAATAAGTTATTTAGGTGAACGTATCTATGTTTTTATTTATTCTTGTGGATTTAATCTCGTTTAAAGACAATATAAGCAACAAAAAAAAAATCCTGATAAGAGCAAATCGAAATAACTTTAATGAAACAGTCATTCATCTCGTAAATTCAGTAAATTTTGGATTTCAGTTTCAAATTACTACTCCACGTTTTTTCACATTGAAGATATCATTCCGTTTAACTGTATGAAATTTGTTTTTCACACATATTTTTCAAACTGTTATCTTTATCATTTTGTCTTGATTGTTTGGGCAAATTTTCTCGTCTTTATTGTTTCCTCTTAACATTTGTTTGATGACATGCCTTACCAAAGCGGACAGCTGAAAAAGACAGGAGTATCTTTTTTATGTGTCATGTCCCCTCAAGATGTACGCGATCATGGACCTCCACAATTTCCTGTCCTTCGTAGCTCTTAATAAATTTTGCCTTATTTCTCCTAAATCTCGTTTCGCCATTTGCACAAGCTTACCAAGGATGCGTTGCTTTCCTCTGTTGCTCTTGCTTTCAATACGCAGCTGAAATACTTGTGGTAAACCAAAACAAAAAAAAAATAAATAAAAAAAACAAAAAATAAAAAAACCAAAAAAAAAACAAAAAACGATTAGTCCGAATCAACGAAGATAAAATGATTTTAACACTTTGTCTAACAAATTCAGAAAAAAAAAGTCTTATCACTATCTTACGCTTTGAAACGTTTCGGTCGATACGTTCTTCAGCCTTTGATATATATTGCATTTGGCAATATTTTGAAAAAAAAAAAACTTTATACGTTCCTTTTTCTTATTTTCATCTTTTCTCATTACTTTCCACCTCAAAATAATAACAAAGAAATAGCGTCGTGTTTTTATAACACTATTAGATTTTACTTTGAACAATATGAATGTATTTAGCTCTAAGTTAAAATGATGATCTCTCTTGCCGTTTTAACCTCCTGATCCATTTTCCCTCTCTACTGTTCCCTCTTTTTTAAACTTATTCACCGTTCTCTTGATGGTTCTTGAATGGACTTTGAAGATGGAAGCCAGCGTATGTATCTTGGTACCATTACTGAAGGTCAGAGTGATTTTTTCCTCTCACCATTGTTCAGTTGGAAATACATAGTGGAGTTGACACAAAATGATTTTAACATATTCTCTTTCTAGCTGAATAACTCAAAGGGTTTTTCATTTATTCTTTCGACAAATGGTGTCAAGATGGCTAAATGTCTTATCTGAATACTTGGAAAAAGTAACTCAATTAGTTTCGTAGCTTTTTTTTTTTTGGATATTAAACATTTTTTGGGATGGACAATTATCCCATATTGTTACACAATTTGGACAATTTTGCTGTTACACCCTGTATAACGTATTCTTATAAATGTGTAAAATTCAAATATTAATAAAATATATCTGTAAAAAAGTTAATATGCATAAAGACTAACGGAAAAAAATTCTTTATCAACGTTCCGTGACTTGAGTAACTTTATCAAAGTAAACTTAAAAAGCTTAGTTTGCAAACATGTATTTATAAACAGAAGTAGACTGGAGAGAAAATATTGTTATGCATTCGACAAATGTAAGAACGCTCGAAAATATTATGAAAACTGTGTAAGTGAAGGTAAACTATGGGGGACACTAAGCGATATAACTTAATGCCTAATAAACGAAATTTGAGTAAATGTTATTGTCGTTGTTGAATTGTATTTTCTTATTTGTTTCTATATATTGATATATTTTTAGTGCAATTATTTATTATGCGATTTTGATAAATCATTTATTTTATATAATATGTATTGAGTTAATCTTTTTTTTTTATTTAAATCTTTTTTATGGTTATATATGTTGGTGTTGTAGCATAGCTACGGACGATAATGGATATGTCCCCATTGACATAAATACAGTAGTAAATACTGTATGTTGGTCTGCAGTTGGGGATTCGTCTTCAATTGTGCTGTTCAAACTCTCTGCCTCCGGGAAGAGAGGATCCCCAGACGAGGCTATGTCGAAGGGCAGAGTCTCGTCTCGGGAAACAGCTACCCGACCCCGTTTTATACGGGGTCTACGGGGAATTTTTGGCCGAGCCTACGGGCTCGAATACCCAACATTCGGCCTTGTGCCAAATCTGACCGCGTGGGGCGGTTGGTAGATATCCTGCCGTTGAGATTTATTGTGGAATTCCCTTGACTCACTTCTAGCAGTTGACTCCTTCTTGTACGCGCCGCTTGTGAATCATATGTGTTGTTCTTGTCCTAAGTATTATCATTCATTACCAACCTTCGTTTTATTGTTCTATTCAGTAACCTTCCCTAGGTTACAACAGTTGGTTTGGGAACATTGTTTTGTACGAGATCTTTTTATATTTATGAATTTGGGTATTTCTTTACAGGAATATGTGTATAATAATTTTATATCTAAATTATCCACAGTGCTACGAAAAACTGCATATAAAATATACAATTAAAAAAAGATAATGGCAGCAATAACAATTGCAATAATCTAGACAAAACTGACATATAATATTGCCTGCTAACTCCTTAATATCTACTATCCAAAACAATTTTTCCAAAACAATTAGGGATATGATCAGAACCAAAAATCTCCATAACAGCAATAATTTTTCAGCAGGTGTATGGAATAAACTGTCACACCTGTTTCTAACAATATATTGGGAAAATTTGCAGAAAAAACGCACTTATGAACACAATGATTTTATACTGTCTCTGTGTGTTTGCCGTAATATTGTTCTCAAAGAGCGCATATACTACGCTGACCCTAAGCGGAATATACGGGAGGAATACTTTGATCCTATGCAAAGCACACATATATTCTGTTTCCTTGACGGAAGTGTCATGCCATCTCGTCGTTTTTGATAATCAGAGCGCAAATAGGTTCATATGTTTTATGTTTATTAGATGTATTACAGCAAATGTCTAGAACAGCCGATAAAAGTGTTTTCTACATTTGGGAAACATTGTACAGAAACTTTTATCTTAAAAACACCTTACACCAGTTTGCGCAAGAATTTTTAAAATGTTTCAGCATAAACACTGGTACTTTTTTTCCAGCCTTAGAAGATTACTATCCTTAGGGTTGAACAATTTGTTTGTTTGTTTTTTTCCTTTTTAAATTTTTTAAATGGTCTCTTGGTGTTGGTGGTATTTTAGTTTGTGCCACTTGTGCCAAAGGCGTAGAATTTACAGAAACCGTGCGTGACAAAGGGCCATCTTGTTGATCTTGCTTCTACTTTTAGTATCTTCATTTTGGTTAGTGATTAATATTAATCAGCCCGTGCAGATTATGACGAGCTTGTTACTGGGTCTTAATCGTTGCAAAAGGATAATTATTCGTGGTTTAAAGTCTTTTAAAGAGATTTATTTTTATATTCCACTTCAAACTTGCTTTACGAGAAAGGATCCTTTTTTTTTTCTTTTTTTTCTTTTCAAACTCCTTTAAAATGCTTTGGTATGACATAATTTTTGTTTTTTAAGTAAGAGATGTAGCTTGGGGATACTATTTTTTAAACGTGTATTCCACACGTAAAATTCAACGTAAATAACCATATTTAAATCAATTTTTTATTTTTTATTTCCAAAACATTCTATTTATTGCATTCAATGAAGCCGATTTTTATCCTGATTTTCGCTATTCTAATTTTTGGAAAACCTTCACTGACTATTATTTCCTATCTCACGAGGAACAGAGTTAACGGGTTTCTTCGTTTTTGTGCTGTTTTTAAATTGATTGTGAGTCGAGAAAAATTATTGCGTTTTACGAACTAACAGGTGTGTTAAATCTTTAATATTACTCCAAGTAAAAAGCGTGAAAGTCATCAACTTGATCTATTAGGTTGATATAAGAATTTCCGATAATTTTCGTTTGTTTTGTTTTTCTTCTTAAATCTCTTATTCATAAAATTCATCGCATTATTCTTTGGTTATCAAAGTATTTCCTCTGATTTTCTATAAGCTTAAATCCCAAACGGCTTACGGCCACGTTGAAACACCTGTTCCCGTAAAATCACCGAACTTCAGCAACATCGAATCTGGTCAGTACCTAGATGGGTGACCGTTTGGGAATATCAGGCGCTGTAAGATTGGAGGTGCAGGTGGTGTAATTGGTAAAGGCTTACAATTGTTAATCGGAGAGCCGAGTTTCAATTCCAGTTGGGTTCACTTACGCGCAAATAACATTAGGAAAAGGATGAATCCACATCTTCTGCCCCAGCTATGTGTTAATTACTAAGACTTGTATCGCTAAACCATTATCTCCCCCACACCACCTCACCCCAAAATCTGACTAAGAATATTTTTTGGCCTTAAGTAACCTGTAACAGGTTGACAAGCCGTAGAAAACAAATCAATCAAAATATCAACCTGAAAACCCGAGTCACGTTCTTAGCCTCGTCAGATCGAGACTTTCATATGGATGCATGGCTTCCAAACCCATTCAGAAATATCTAAACTGTCAGCTGTATACAACTGCTCTCTAAGATCAATGATGAAAAAAGGCTTTGAGCCAGTGAAACTTGATGGTCTTGGAAAAGATCATCCTTCTTACAACATTGTGGACTGGGGCTACAGATTCACAAACAAAGAACTGTATCAAATAACAGTAACTACATTACTCGAGGAATACCAACAGCAGCAACAATTAAAATGAATAGAAAATGTAATTGGAAGATAAGAATAATGACATAATCAAGATTTTGACATTCCACAGTACTTCGAAGAAATGGTTTGTGAGGAAATTTCCATAAATATTGGAAAGAGCGATAAATTGTTTAACGCGAAAGATTCTATAAATTTAAACCGACAAAAATACTGACTGCTCTGTCAGTGAATGCCAAATGTTTCCTTATAGAGAAACAGCTCATATGACCATTGCCATTACGCCACATTTCATCGAAATTATGTATTCAGTTATAAAAGCACATTTTTTTCAGTGAATCTTTTAATAAATATTTGACATTTTGTTTGAACCGTTTGTCTGCCATTTTGCATGGATCGAATCAAGTGATATTTGAGATATTTCAATTTCTCACCGACACTGGCTATATTCACGACATCCCCACCAAGAAAAAAATCAGACGCCTGTGACGAACAATAAACAAAATAAAGGTTTTAAAATATTCACCAATGCCCCCTTCCATGGAACACGTCTTAAAATTTAAGACTGTTGCTTGGTAAAGAGCTTAGTAAATTTTTTAAAGACGACGCTTCTAAGATTTTCCTAACATTGTGTAACTTTTTCATGAATCTACAGAAGGATATTGAGAATACCATATGCACAACATGTAGGCAACAAAGAAGTTTTAAGGAAAAATAAAAGGACACTTATACTCAAAATCAGAAATAAACAGTTGAAATTTCTGGATAAAGAGAAAGGAGGGCTTGAAAATTTAAAACTAACAAGACATATCAAAGGAAAAACAGACAATTGGGCAGCAGCGGGCTACCGATGTGAATGAATAGCGAGACGAGTAGTCGATGGGATGGTAAAAAAAGACATTACTAAGAGGTACAAAAGATAGAGAGCAGTGGAGAGCCATGATCGCCAACATCCTGAAGGGACACGGCATATAGAAGAAGGACTGTATCGTCTTTTAAAGAAAAATTGTCCAAATCGTGTAACAGCGTGGGATAATTGTCCATCCCATAAGATGTTTAATATCTAAAAAACACTAAACTAATTGAGTTACTTTTTTCCAGGTTTTCAGATAAGACGTTTAGTCACCTTGATACCATTTGTCGTAAGAATCAGCGAAAAACTCTTCGTGTTATTCAGCTCGAAAGAGAACAGGTTAAAATCATTTTATGTCAGCCCCACTATGTATTCCCAACTGAGCAAGGCTGAGAGGAAAAAGATCATCCAGGTCTTCACTCATCGTACCAAGATTCATACTCTGGCTTCCATTTTCAAAGTCTATTCAAGGACCATCAAGGGAACAGTGAATAAGTTTAAAAAAGAGGGATCAGTAGAAAGGAAAACTGGATCAGGAGGTCACAACAGGAAGAGGGGTCGTAATTTCAACTTACAGTTAAATATATTCTTATTATTCAAAGTATAGTCCAATAGTGTTATAAAAAACTCAAAGTATTCCAGTAAGATATCTTTAAGCATTTCATAGATACAATGTTTCAAAGCTTAATCTAGCAATTGGACAATTTTGCTGTTACAGTCGATATATATATATATATATATATATATATATATATATATAGTCTACAGTGCCATCTGCTGCCGCAAATTAGATGAATTACTACTTTTTACTGATGAAATTATGCCAAAATTAACCCATTTTACTTATTTCTTTGGTCTGTAGTTTACTTGTAAAATCTGTGATATGTATGGAGCACATCTACCTTAAAACCCCCATATATATATATATATATTTAAAAAAAAAAACAACTCTTTTCTCTCCAAGAACAAAACACTATTTTCCTTACGCCTGTCAATTTTCTAACGTTTATTTTTATTTTATTTTAAATGGCTTTCACTGTCTGTTGTCTTTCCAGATTTTATTCATTATATTCCACTATACTGTACTCTCTCCAGAGCAGCATCTGTGTCCCTTTTCTTATTCAACTATTATACAATAGAATGTATTATTCGAATAGAATAGAAATTGTTGTTCAACAATCCTTTGTTTCTTTTTATATTTATTTGATATACCCGCTCAAATGAATTCATTCTTTTCAGTCTTTCTCTTCTTTCTTCCCTTCCAAGTGCGGGGGGCCAAGAGGTGTGTGATATTTATTTCTATCAATTATGATGGTATGAAAAAAACAAAACAACAATGGACTTAAAATATGAACAAACGCCTGATACGTAGAAGTCATTTTTAATTTTAATCTCATATACAATCTTGTTAAACACACAATGTGTTTTAAAAATATAAGTACGATTTTGGAATACAATTCGAAAAACAAAAACGTTAATTTCTTTTGAGATCATATTTATTTAATAATCGTTTGAAATATCTACTCTCGCTTTGTTATTGAAAATCTGTCGATAAAAAGAAATCAAAGAAAAACAGAAATAAAGAAGGAAAAAATAAACCCGGGAGATTAAACGCGTTTTTGCGAGTAAAAACCTCGACCGGAGAAAACGCATTTATATTTTACTGTTGTCGAATAAATGCATTCTCCAAATGAATAGATTGTCAAAGGACAATTGCCATTTTCACTCGTCATGTACAAAATGTTTATAGGATTATTTTGAGAACGTTAACTTTTTGTTTGCTTTTTTTTGTGTGTTTAATTTGGGCATCGCGTTTTTATTTAAAAAGTTGTTTTTATTGTATTTTATTTTACTATCTGTTTATTTTCTTTTTTTCTTTTATTTTTTGGCGATGTATGTTTCTTTTTTCTTTTCTAATCCAAATATCCTAGCTGCATTTTTTTCTCTTTTGTCTCTTTTAGTAATGCAAACATGTTTCCGTTTATCTCTTCTCGAGGCTTTTATTTTTTGTTGGGGTGGGGATAAGTGGGGTGGATTGTCCACTTATTTCGGATACCAATTGTTTTGAAGGTAAGAAGCAAGAATACTGGCGCTTAAACTTATCGTACAGTGACAATGATAGTGCACAGATTTTTATCCTGATTCCAAATTGAATAAATAAATAAAAATAACGAATAAAAAGAAACAATAAATTAGTGAAAATAAAATAAATATTTGTTTTATAGAGTGCTAACATTTACGCTTTTTTTATTATTCAAATTATTTTCGCTTCGTGCACGCGCCTGCTATTTTTTTGAACAGAGCCAAACCGATATCGCTTGGATCATTGGTTGAATAAGCCAATACGAAGTCTTTCTTTCTAAACGTGGGCAAATGCTATTATCAACATGAAATAAAAGTCAAATTTCCTTTTTAAAAAGAATTCACCACATCACACAGCTTAACGGTCATATCATTGTAAGCCAGGAATACGCCCAATGTCATTTATACGATATTGAAACGTTTTATTAAATCCGACTGACAAGATTGTCTCTTCAGTTTTTTAATCGTCTATATTACAATATGTTGATACAAATTTCCTATTTTATTATCAGTTCTCGTTGTTAAACTTTTAATCTTGATTTATCAATTAAACTTTATGTTAAGTTTTTGGGTGTCAGAAAAAAGAAAATAGTATACATATGGTTTGGTACTATTCACGATGCATCATACTGATCATAAATACGGACTATTTTTAAGATGAGTGTTTGGACTTGCGCCCAAAAAGCTTTGTACGTAACTTCGAGAATGTTTTATGAAGATAATTTTTTAAATGAAGTTATTTCTCTGTACCATAGTGAATTTTATTCATTACATTGGTTTCACTTCTTGGGTTTTCCATTCCGTCTTTCTTTTTCTTCTTTTCTTTCTTTCTACTTTACCGGTAACGTTGCTTTCTTTCCATCTGAGTTTTCTTTCTTTCTTTCTTTTCTTCATTCTGCTTTGCCTTTTCTCTTTTCTTTTCTCTGTATTCCTATTGAATGTTATTCTTTACCTTAGTTTCATTCCTCTGAGTTTTCTTTCTTTCTTTTCTTCATTCTGCTTTGCCTTTTCTCTTTCCTTTCTCTGTATTCCTATTGAATGTTATTCTTTACCTTAGTTTCATTCCTCTGAGTTTTCTTTCTTTTTTTCTTTTTTTCATTTTGCTTTGCCTTTTCTTTCTTTCTTTCTTTTCTTCATTCTGCTTTGCCTTTTCTCTTTCCTTTCTCTGTATTCCTATTGAATGTTATTCTTTACCTTAGTTTCATTCCTCTGAGTTTTCTTTCTTTCTTTTCTTCATTCTGCTTTCTTTTTTCTCTTTCCTTTCTCTGTATTCTGCTTTAGTTTCATTCCCTCTGAGTTTTTTTTCTTTCTTTTTCTTTTTCATTTTTTTCTGCCTTTTTCTTTTTTTTTTCTTTTCTTCATTCTCTTTTCTCTTTCCTTTCTCTGTATTTATTGAATGTTATTCTTTTACCTTAGTTTTCATTCCTTGAGTTTTTTTTTTTTTTTTTTTTTTCATTTTGCTTTTGCCTTTTCTTTCTTTCTTTTTTTTTTTTCATTCTGCTTTGCCTTTTTCTTTCCTTTCTCTGTATTCCTATTGAATGTTATTCTTTTACCTTAGTTTCATTCCTCTGAGTTTTCTTTCTTTTTTTTTTTTTTTTCATTTTGCTTTTTTTTTTCTTTCTTTCTTTTCTTCATTCTGCTTTTGCTTTTTTTCTCTTTCCTTTTCTGTATTCCTATTGAATGTTATTCTTTACCTTAGTTTCATTCCTCTGAGTTTTCTTTCTTTTGCCTTTTTTTCTTTCTCTGTATTCCTATTGAATGTTATTCTTTACCTTAGTTTCATTCCTCTGAGTTTTCTTTCTTTCTTTCTTTTTTTCATTTTGCTTTGCCTTTTCTTTCTTTCTTTCTTTTCTTCATTCTGCTTTGCCTTTTCTCTTTCCTTTCTCTGTATTCCTATTGAATGTTATTCTTTACCTTAGTTTCATTCCTCTGAGTTTTCTTTCTTTCTTTTCTTCATTCTGCTTTGCCTTTTCTTTCTTTCTTTCTTTTCTTCATTCTGCTTTTTTCTTTCTTTCTGTATTCCTATTGAATGTTATTCTTTTGTTTCATTTTGAGTTTTCTTTCTTTCTTTTCTTCATTCTGCTTTGCCTTTTCTTTCTTTCTTTCTTTTCTTCATTCTGCTTTGCCTTTTCTCTTTCCTTTTTCTGTATTCCTATTGAATGTTATTCTTTCTTTTCATTCCTTGAGTTTTCTTTCATTCCTCTCATTCTGCTTTTTTTTCTTTTCTTTCTTTTTTCTTCTGCTTTGCCTTTTCTCTTTCCTTTTTCTGTATTCCTATTGAATGTTATTCTTTACCTTAGTTTCATTCCTCTGAGTTTTTTTTCTTTCTTTTCTTTTTCTTCATTCTGTATTCCTATTGAATGCCTTTTTTCATTCTCTGAGTTTTCCTTTTCTTCATTCTGCTTTATTTTCTTTTCTCTGTATTCCTATTGAATGTTATGTTAGTTTCTTTACCTGAGTTTAGTTTCATTCCTCATTGAGTTTTCTTTTCTTTTTTTTTTCTTTTCTTCATTCTGCTTTGCCTTTTTCTCTTTCCTTTCTCTGTATTCCTATTGAATGTTATTCTTTACCTTAGTTTCATTCCTCTGAGTTTTCTTTTTTTTTTCTTTTCTTCATTCTTGCTTTCTTTTTTTCCTTTTTTTTTTTCTCTTTCCTTTTCTCTTCCTTTTCTGTATTTGAATGTTATTCTTTACCTTAGTTTCATTCCTCTGAGTTTTCTTTCTTTCTTTTCTTCATTCTTTTCTTTTCTCTTTCCTTTCATTCCTTGAATGTTATTCTTTACCTTAGTTTCATTCCTCTGAGTTTTCTTTTTTTTCTTTTCTTCATTCTGCTTTTGCCTTTTCTCTTTCCTTTCTCTGTATTCCTATTGAATGTTATTCTTAGTTTACCTTAGTTTTCATTCCTTTCTTTTTTCATTTTTTTTTTTTTTTTTTCTTTCTTTCTTTTCTTCATTCTGCTTTGCCTTTTCTCTTTCCTTTCTCTGTATTCCTATTGAATGTTATTCTTTACCTTAGTTTCATTCCTCTGAGTTTTCTTTCTTTCTTTTCTTCATTCTGCTTTGCCTTTTCTCTTTCCTTTCTCTGTATTCCTATTGAATGTTATTCTTTACCTTAGTTTCATTCCTCTGAGTTTTCTTTCTTTCTTTTCTTCATTCTGCTTTGCTTTTTTTCATTCTCTTTCCTTTCTCTTTCTTTTTCTGTATTCTATTGAATGTTATTCTTTACCTTAGTTTCATTCCTCTGAGTTTTCTTTCTTTCTTTTTTTTCTGCTTTGCCTTTTTTCTTTCTGTATTCCTATTGAATGTTATTCTTTTACCTTAGTTTCATTCCTCTGAGTTTTCTTTCTTTTCTTTTTTTCATTCTGCTTTGCCTTTTTTTTCCTTCTCTGTATTCTATTGAATGTTTAGTTTCTTTTCTGAGTTTTTTTTCTTTCTTTCTTTTCTTCATTCTGCTTTGCCTTTTCTTTCTTTCTTTCTTTTCTTCATTCTGCTTTGCCTTTTCTCTTTCCTTTCTCTGTATTCCTATTGAATGTTATTCTTTACTTTAGTTTCATTCCTCTGAGTTTTCTTTCTTTGATCTCTACTTTTAAGTTTTTCTTCGCCGCTCTTTCCTGTGTTTAACCTTTCTTTTTTTTTTACTGTTCTTTTTTCTCTCTTTTCATTGTACGATTTAAAAAACAATTAGGACTTTACTTTTTAATCTATTTCACCTTTCCTGTCTTTACTTTTCTTTCTTTATCTTTTTCGTATATCTCTCTCTCTCTCTTCATCAGCTGCCATCTGTTTCTCTTACAGTTTCCTATCTGTGCCAGTCAGTATTTTCCTATATTATCAGATCCATTGTTCTGTGACACAAACGCACAATAAATAGATGAAATACTGAACATTGACGACACCAACTCTAAATAAATCTCGCAGTCTATTTGTTCGCGTTTGTTGTATTCATTATCGCCGCCGACATTTTTCGTTTTTGTTCGAGTTGTTCCCCTTCGTTAGACCGTTATACGCTTCCATGACTAAATTTTCCGCAATTATCTTTTTACTTCATTATAAGTGTATGCTTGATAGTTGATTATTTACTTAATACAAAGTCTAATAACTCTTTGTTTGATCACCACTGTAAAATTATTTATCTAATTGACTTTATCATAGAAACTGTAAACCTTTCTTTATTTTCTCTCTCTTTACCTGCGTAGATAAATGGCGTGGAAGAATCATGGCATTGCTTCTAAAGTTTCTTTGTCCGCTATGAACAATACGAGAGCAATGCGCCAACAATATGGACTGCATTTCGAAATCACAAGGAAACTTTCATCGTTCATTTGACAAAATCGATTTGTCCCTATATTTTTTAGAATATTCAAAAACAATAGAAATAATATATTTGTTTCAAAAAGAAAAAAAAATGTCTGCTTATTTGTTTCATTATGCTTTTCAGAATTTTTTTAGATGAATTATTGTTATTTTTTATTGATTTCTATTGCCATTATTGTTTCATATGAAAGCTTAACACCCAAGTCGATGACGTTATAAATCTGTAAAGATCTTGAGATGTAGGGTAGGAGGCTAAAACAATTCTTCGATATGTCTTGTACTTTCATGTTTTGGATGACCATGCCTTTTTACATTTTTCTTTTTTTCTTTTTTTGGCTTTTGTAATACCTTTTGACTCGTTAACATCTTTTTTCGTCTCCATTTTACCATCTACTCAAACTCTTCAACTAGGTTACTCACTGTTTCCCCTTGATTAGAGCGTTACACTTGTCAGGCCTTCCTTCCTCATAATGACTTCCAGAAATTTCAGTTCTTTCTAATTATTAGTATCAGTTTCCTTGTAATTACCATTTTCTTTAAAACTTCCCCGTTAGTCAAATGCTATCTTTATTGTATTACCGGCACTTGTCGGTAGAACCACATCCCCGTCTCTCTAGGTCTCTTCTTCATTCGTGAAGAGATTATCCAGTATTCATTGCTATACAAGACATTAGATATTGCATAATATTTCAGTATATATTTCTTTATCTCTAAGGACATTTTAATATCTCTTAATACTCTGCTTAGTTTCTGGAAAACTTCTTTCGCCAATTCTATACGCCTTCGGATTTCTGTGCAGCATTTTTACCCAGAGAGTTAAATTTCTGTACCGGCTTTATTTTGATGTTGACAATACATATCTTACACATTGGGCTGTCTCTTTTCCTGGCTAACAACTATGCATTCTATCTTCTTATAATTAATAGTTAGTCTTTTCTTCTTGCTTTCCATTACTGCTTTATCTTAGAGTTCTTTCATTTTTTTAAGTGTGGCATCAACACAATTTTATCTGCGGATCTTAACAGTTAAGATTAGACTGACCCATAATAAATTCTGGTAAGTCCATGAATGGTTTCGAAAGACGACTGAACACAAGACAGTCTTGAAGAAGCCTGAAGAATATATCAGCAGAAATGTTGTCTTAACACAATATTTGCAATATACAACGTAACAAATGAAGCCCAGCCATTGCTCAGTGCTGCAGTGTAGAAATTAAACCGAGCACGTTCTTTGAGTATTTTGATTGAAAATTCTATAAACGATCAAGAAATGTTCTCAACGTTTGTCAATGGAAAAATTTGATATAACTATAGAAAGGATATCAATTATCCTTACTGGTCAAACTCTTCAACTAGGTTACTCACTGTTTCCCCTTGATTAGAGCGTTACACTTGTCAGGCCTTCCTTCCTCATAATGACTATATAGATTATAGAGAAACGTTGAGAATTACCGTAAATAAAACTGAGTTATGTATGATTTTCCTAACAGTTGGTAAACTAAAACAACTGAGTTGCCATTGTTTCATTTTATTTTTTATCTGTTCATTGTTCATTTGTAAGACATTAGTTATGACTTCTGATTAAGTCGGTCAGTTTAGGATAAACATAAATATTCTTTCTACTTTTGTTACCAAAGATATCCGTCATTCCTGTCATTGTCAAAAAAGATGTCAACCTTTTCTCTCATTTTTAACAAAGTCGCTTCGTTTGGGATATACTTTAATGTTTTTCTTTCATTTTTATTAAAAATGTCATTTTTTTTTAATCTCTTATTGTTAACAAAGATATCAATCTTTCATCTCCTTGTTAAAAAAGATGTGAGTTTTTCTTCTCATTGTTAGCAAAGATGTCAGTCTTTCATCGTGTTAACAAAGATATCAATTTTTCATATCCTTCTTAACAAAGATGTCAATTTTTTATATCCTTGTTAACAAAGATGTCAATTTTTTTTATCCTTGTTAACAAAGATGTCAATCTTTCATCTCCTTGTTAACAAAGATGTCAATCTTTCATCTCCTTGTTAACAAAGATGTCAATCTTTCATCCCCTTGTTAACAAAGATGTCAATCTTTCATCTCCTTGTTAACAAAGATATGAGTATTTCTTCTCATTGTTAACAAAGATGTCAATCTTTCATCTCATTATTAACAAAGATGTCCGTCTTTCATTTCATTGTTAACAAAGATGTGAGTCTTTCTTGGCATCGCTAGTAAGAAATTCATTAAAGTTTGAATGTTGACGGCTTTGCAATGTGTGTCAAGATTCCGGATATTTATAGCAATAAGCGATAAACCTAGTGGAACACTTCCATTAGGTTAGAGTATCAGTGATGTAAGCAATCCACAATACGAAACATTGGCAGCATTTAAGTAAATTTCCACATCTAAGTAACTTTAGAATCTCCTTCAGTGAAAAGGCGACTTATACTAAAATAATCCTATTTTCATATTTGATAGTTTCTCCATTGAATCTTCTAAAACATCTTTCTCTATTCACCTTAAACCTACCTTCCATACTAAAGATCACTTCGGTAAACTAGTGTTTGACATTGTAATAAAGAACAAATTATGTTTGTCTTCAACATTTAGACAAGCTAAAAGGGTGTTTATTACGCTCTAAAAACCCCGTTCAGACATTGTCTTAACCAGCGTCAGCTTCCACACGCAACTGCTTTAAGCATTTGTAAATTTCTTGCAACTATAAATGACTTAAACTATGTCGTCGCTTAGTATGGGAGATTTGGAGCTTTCAAAATCTTGCTACTGTTTCTTTAAAATCTACTGTTAGTGTTCATCAAATCAAACAGAAATAAAAGGAATTTCTCTTTTCGCTACGACCTGAAGAGATATCGAAACGTCTTGCAAGCTTGGAGAATGCCTGCAATATGGCTTTTAAGAACGGTATCAGCGTGGAATTTCGTATTTTTGGGGGAAGTGTCTAATCACTGAAATGCAAAACTGATGCCCAATTTCTTTTGTCGTTTCTTTTTTATTATTGGTTTTGAATGTCGTGTCCTTTCAGGACGTGGACAATCATAGTTCCACAGATTTCTCATCTTTATTGTCATGACTTCTTTGGATACTGGATTTGTTTTCTGTTTTTTTTTTGTTTTTTTAAGGTTTTGATTTCGGGATTGTCTTCGACCTAAACTAACTGCCAACCAAGATTGAAGAGCCTACTCTACCTTGTTGTTTTATCTATAGCTTGGTGAAGAAGGGATATCTTTTTTAGGTCATTTGTACAATTTTTTAAAGTCATTTGTACAAATTAACAGAGTAAGCTGAAACGAACTCAGTTTTCTGTTTCCATTTTTCACACCGATAACAGTCACGCCACTCACACATGCACCTGAAATGAGTTTCTGAATATAATCTTTAATTTCATAAAGTGTTTATTGTTTATTTTTTATTGTAGAAATGGCCTTACAAAATGTGAAGAGATAGTACAACTATTGATAATTAAAAAAACTTGATCATTTAATGTTTACATCTGTTCTGTTCGAAAAGGGGAAATATTAACTTCAGAAACATGCTTTGAGGTTAGAAAAGAAACACATTCTGTCCATCCCCCCCTCACAAAAGAACTTGTAATAGCCTACTCTTGGTGAGGGTTCGTTTTTGTGCAGAAAGGTGAATCTTATTTAGATAGATGTGAATTCAAATCAGTCGAATTACATGAACTTTAAAATGCAATGGACCTATTACTTTTTTACTTGAACATCGTTTGACTAAATATTAACCTACAATCTATATCTTGTGCATTGAAAATCAAAAAAAAAAAAATCATCAGGAATTAATCCTGAGTATAACAGAGCTATGATGTGTTGCGTGTTTAGTCAGCACTCGTTATGTATTGACCTTACTCCATTTGTCGAGGAGACAAGTTTGCTAATCCATTTTTTTATCAGATAAGTGTTCCGCGTCGTCTCGATTCTATTATATAAAAAAATACATTTATTTAAAGCGATGACGGCAATTAATACAACTGATATTATCTCTACGCAGTTTCATTCAACTGCTGATTGGAGTTGTTCGTCTAACGAATTTTACACTTAATTTTGCCATTGGTACGAGAAATAAGACAGGCAACTTTTGTAATTTTTACGATTTCACCTAAATAAAGACTATGGTTGTCATGGTAATGATACTGATCATTTCTTTTTGTGACTTTAATTAATTATTTTTTTTCTCTGAATTTCTTTTTTATTTGTTTCCCGTCCCTAAAAGCGAACAGA